GGAGCCGGCTTGCTCGAGGTTCCTGCAGCCGCGGGGAACTCGAGCAAGCCAAAGGTTTAAAGCGCTTCCCCTCCCGGAGCCAGGCTCCCCGCAGGCGGGCGAGGAATGACGGCGGAGGGGGTGGGGAGGGGAGGGGTGCCCCGGGCTCACTGGCGGAGAGCCCTACCCCCCCCAGCAGGAAAAGACCCCTGGGGGCAAGCCTGTGTTGCCAGAGGCGCTGCCTTTTACGATCCTTATTAACGATCCTTATTTTATGATCCTTATTTTACGATCCTTATTAATTAGTAACGATCCTTCCTGATGCTAATCAGGGACGTCTCCCACCTTTTGTTTTCCCTGGCCAGGACCATTAGTGGTCAGATAATCCATTCAACTAGCCACCAGCACCTGGCTTCTATTGTTAAATCCAGACCCTGCCTCTCTGGAAGCTCATTGGGCACATCTAGGCCTTGCCCATCCTGAGGCCACACACCCCTGGGACTCATCATTGGTCTAGGAAATCTATTGTTCTCACCTGAGACCAGCCCCCAGGACCAGCCATTGGTCTGCATTGTCTTCCATAGGGTATATCCCAGCGTAAACATGGCCTCAGCCTGTGTGTTTTCTGCCATAACTCGAAATGGCAGTCCACCCCTAAAATCTCTGAGTTTAGGCCACAATCCATGGACCTCTGCACATCTGGACCAGGTTGTATAACCCCTCTATAAACTATCAATCACCTCTGCTTCCTTAGTTCTATAAATGTGTGTGTGGTTGTGTATTGTTTGAATGATATATATTCCCCAGTAAAGAGACATTATATTTTACTGAATCCAGTCTCTGTGTCTGTTCAGATACTTACAGCAAAGGTGGGACATCGGGATACATTGGTGAGAACCCTAATTTGTCTATTGCCAATCAATAATCATAACTTCCCCTAAACGAATTAATAATTCAAGGCAATTTGGCTAACACCTGCAGATGACACAAAATTCTTCAGGATGATAAAATGCCAAGCAGACTGTGAAGAATCTCTCCAACTGGAGAGACTGAGTAAGAAACTCATTGGAAGAACCCCACCACCACCACCAAAATCCTAATTACATTTACAGATTAAAATTGTATAGGTCAAAACTAACTGTAAAAAAATCTTTATGTCATACAAGAAAACCATTTAAAAATGTCTTAACAGTGTTAACAGCAACCTAGGGTTGTCAGCTCTGGGTTGATAAATACCTGGAGATATGAAGGGTCAAGCCTGTGGAAAGACCTCAGTACAGTCTACCCTCCAAAGTAGCCATTTTCTGCAGGGGAACTGATCTCTAGTCTGGAGATCAGTTGTCATTCAGGCCCCACCTGGAGGTTGGCAAGCCTAAAGCAAACCCAGATTATGGCTGAAGGTGGTGTTAGGGAAGTAAGGAGAATGTATATGAAAGGATCTGAGAAGAGGAAATGCATGATCCTGTGGGTCATTGTCATAGTCTCCTTTACAATGAACAGCTGTTAAGATAAATAAATATAAACAGAATACTTCCGACGCTTTGGTCTACTTCCCATTCATAGGCAATATACTGGCTTTATTCTAGTATTATACTGTTAGGTAAAGGCAAAGGTTTCCCTTGCTCGAAAGCCAGTCGAATCCAATTATAGGGATGCAGTGCTCATCTCCGTTTCCAAGCTGTCTGAAGATGTTTCTGTGGTCATGTGGCTGGCATGACTAGACGCCAAGGCGCACAGAACACTGTTACCTTCCCACCGAAGCGGTACATATTTACCTACTTGCAATTTCTTGCTTTCGAACTGCTAGGTTGGCAGGAGATGGGACTAGAGATGGGAGCTCACTCTGTCATGCGGCACTTGGGTCTCGAACTGCTGAACTACCGACCTTCTGGTCTGCAGTTCAGCATCTTAACCACTTGAGCCACCACAGCCCCCATTATACTGTTACCAAGTTATGATGTTTGACTACAGATCCAGATGGGTAGCCGTGTTAGTCTGTCTGTAGCAGCAGAAAAGAGAAAGGGGCCCGTAGCACATTGAAGACTAACAAGATTTGTGGTTAGGTATGAGCTTTCATGAGTTGCGTCTAAAGAAGTGAGCGGTGACTCACAAAAGCTAATGCCCTACCATAAATTTTGTTAGTCTTTAAGGTTGACAAATTACTCTCAACTGTATGCCCGACCACTTGCAGCCTTGATCCATGCCTGTCATGGCTAATTAAAGCCAGCTGCAATGGACTACGAGGTATCCTAAGGGAAATCATCAACAAGTCCCTCTCTGAGGGGCTGTTCCCTAGGGCACTCAAGGAGGCAGTGGTATGCCCTCTCTTTAAAAAAAACACATGCCTGGATCCAGCCGAATTGGCTAATTACTGGCCAGTTTCCAATCTGCCCTATTTGGGCAAAATAACTGAGAGGAGAGGGTGGTGGCAGTTCAGTTGCAGGATTTGTTGGATGACACCTCTGCATTAGAACACTTCCAGTCCTGCTTCCAGCCAGGCCATGGGACAGAGACGGCACTGGTCGACCTCATGGATGAGCTCTTCCATCAGGCCTTCAATTAGTGAGATGCACTTAACAAACTGAGGCCCTGGCCCCAATACTAATACCACCATTGACAGCCTGTGCTTCGCTGATATGACCCAGACTAAGATGTCAACCGACTGTACGCTTATGCTGATGCTGCTAACGCCTTGCCATCATTACATGATCTGCACTAGCACTTTATGTAGTGTTTTTCTACATATATTTATTTTATTCAATTATCTCTTTGATCTTTTAATGAAATTCTATGTAAGCCACCCTGAGCCTGCTGTGGCATGGAGGGTGGGATATAAATAAAATAAATAAACAAACAAATAAATAAGGTGCTACTGGACTCTTTCTCTTTTCTACTGTTTGACTACAGGTGAGCCAACTACATGAATACATGAAGCTGAACCAGACCATTGGGCTATATCAAGGTTAATACTGTCTATTCTGGCTGACTGTGGCCCTCCAGGGTCTTGGCCAGATGTCTTTTGCATCGTCCGTTACCTGACCCTTTTAGCCTGAAATGCCATTGAGTGAGCCTTCAGCATGTAAAGCACACGCACTACCACTTAGCCATGGCCCTTCTATTAAAAACTGTAAAATACATCTAGTGTACAGACTAATGCAGATAGTGTCAGAACTCCTAAAATGAAGGAAACACTATCTGGTATTTCAACCCCTTTAGAACAACGTGTATTATCATCTCTCTGGCCCAGTATCCTATCTCTTACTATGAAGAACTGCTACTGAGATAATAGAGCTCAAGATTATTATGCATAAATATCTAATATCTCAAAGTAAAATGCTCTCAAGTAACAAAGATGAAACTCAGTTTTGGACAGCTGATGAAAGCCAGTGTTGGGCTAAATAGAACACTGGTCTGATGTAATTCTAGACAACAACTTATAACCTTTGACTGTCTATAACTTTGTTAAATGTACTTAATCTCATTACTTTTTCCAATATTCCTATATATCATTGTTTTTTGGTTTTCCTCAGGGCTATTTTTGGGCAGGAACGCACAGGAACGGAGTTCCGGCTGGCTCCTGAGTTGGCCACACCCAGCAGGAACTCATTAGCATAATAGGCCACACCCAACAGCAGAAACTCATTCGGATTGGCTACATTAGGGGTGTGTGGCCTAACATGCAAAGGAGTTCCTGCTGGTTGGTGGGCCATGTGGTTGGTGGGCCATGTGGTCCCTTGGTGGTTGGTGGGCCATGTGGAAAAGCATTAAACTGCCCCCCCGTGCCTCCCCCAGCCTGTCTAAAGGCTGGCTTGTCCGGGCGCCCCGCAGTCGCGGGGCGCCCAGACAAGCCAAGGGAAGGCTGCCTTCCCTTCCCTTCAAGGGGTGGCTTGCCCGGGCTCCCTGCAGCTGCGGTGCGCCTGGGCAAGCAAAGGTAGGCATGGGGTGTGGCCTAATATGCTAATGAGCTGTGTTGTTGGGTGTGGCCTAATATGCTAATTGGTTTCTGCTGTTGGGTGTGGCCTATTATTCTAATGAGTTCCTGCTGGGCTTTTTCTACAAAAAAAGCCCTGGTTTTCCTACCTGTTCGTGTATACTACTGGTTAATTGCAAGTAATGAATATTGTTTTCCATTGGATCCTTGGTGTTTGCCTCTCTAGCTCAGAACGATCCACCCTGGTGGCAGTTCTCCAGAAATCTCAGGTACCAAATGCTATTTGAGCAAGAGCTATGGAATGGAATAATCCATTTTCCATAACCCAGTACTGTTTACAGTCTGACTCTGCCATCTTCTGGCAAAATGTTCATTGTAGGGCCAAACTACTGCCTTGCCACTATTAAAGCAGAAATAATCCGATTATTCTAGTGGTGAATCTGTCTATCCTTGGCATAAAGAAATGAGTGCCACAGTAATTTTGTTGAGCACTTATAAACTAAGCAGAGACAATAGAATCCACTCACTGACAAGAAAACGGGCTTTAAAAAAGCAGAATAACTTTTGTAAAGCAGGAGGATTTCTTATATCTTGTCAATCCTCAGTTTGTATTGGAGCTTTAATATAGAGCATATAGAGTAGAGCTCCCATAAAAGCAAAGGATCTCCTTTTACTTTGCTTACATGTTTCTGCTGACCTTGTGAAGCTTCACCTATTGAAATCAGTGGAAGAAATTTTCTTATAGCTGTGCTCAATCAGAGCACTCAGAGAAATCTGGATCAAGGACCTTGACTATTATTAATACCTACGTAAGTAATCTAATTTTTAAAACTAATTTTATTTGGAAATAAACCTCAAACATGTTGCTGATTCAGTCTGCCAAAGGACATTGATAGTTTTGGAAATGAGACACCATGGTTTAAAAGCCAAGCTCATTCTTATTACTCAGCTTACTTAACCAATTTCTTAACTATTTCTTAAAAACTATTCTTAAATAGTATAGCACAGTGGTCATGAGTCAGAAAAGAAACCTAACCTGGACATTAAAGAAATACAATGATGCCTAATAATAATGATAATAGAGCCTTACCTTTGATAAGAGATGTTTTGAACTGATATTGTAGCCTTTAAGGTTTTCATGTAGCTTTTGTAGGCACTGTATGACTTTTCGTTGTTGTTTGTCATTCTTCAGGTCCTCTGTTTTGACTAGAAACTCATAATGTTCTAAAGGTCCATTGCAAACCAACAATGCTTTAGAATTAGCATCTGCTAGTGTGCTACTGGTTGCTTTCTCAGCTGCCTGAACTGCATAAGCTGTAAAATATGAATTATGTTTCCATCAGTCTGAAAAACTGCCATGTTTTATTTTTATTTATTTTTAATTTTATATTTACATTTATATCCCGCTCTACCCCGAAGGCTCAGAGCGGCTAACCGGGGCACAAAGTGCCAAGTTAAACAATAGCATATAATTTTAAAACAATAAATTATAATAAAATATAAACAATATACAGTAAATTTCAAGCAAGAAGGGAAGATCTTAACCTCGCATAGCTACCAACGATCTTATCCTCAGAGCAGTGTCCAGCACCACGCTCCACCCTTGGGGGCCAGGCAATCAGATGTTAAATCGCTAGGGCATAGGGCGTACAGATGGAATAGTGGTGGCGGCGGCTCCTATCCAAAGGCCTGGTGGAAGAGCTCTGTCTTGCAGGCCCTTGCAGGCCCATAGTATCAACAACAACAATAGCACTACATTTGTTGGAGTAGATTTCCCTACTATAAACCTTGTTTCCTAGGGCCAATTTAGATATTACTTTCTGCCTGTTGATTAAAAGCAGCGATGCAATGCAGGCAACAAGCACAAGTTGTGACCCACCAATCCAAAGGTAGCCCATTAGATGCTCCATAAAGCTTCTTTTCTTGCTTCTTATGTAAGACTACAAAAACACTTGTCAGATTCTGGCATTCCATAATAGAAAGCTGGTGGACTGTGCTTGGGTTGATGGGTCACAGCTTATACACTATGGCCTTGTTTATATTGATACATTCAATATTGGTATTTGCATTTAAATGTTACTTTGCATCACAGGATTTTCTGCATGGGGAAGATATTTTTGGTGGCAACCACATAGAAAAACCATAAATTAGCTGTAATTTATACTATGAGAATGAGCTGCGGTGGCTCAAGTGGCTAAGACGCTGAACTGCAGGCTGTGGAAGGTCAGTAGTTCAGCAGTTTGAGACCTGAGTTGCCGCATGACGGAGTGAGCTCCCGTCTCTAGTCGCAGCTCCTGCCAACCTAGCAGTTCGAAAGCAAGGAATTGCAAGTAGATAAATAGGTACCATTTCGGCGGGAAGGTAACAGCGTTCTATGCGCCTTGGTGTTTATTCAGGCCAGCCACATGACCACGGAAACGTCTTCGGACAGCGCTGGCTCTTCGGCTTTGAAACAGAGATGAGCACCGCAACCCTAGAGTTGGATTCGACTGGCTTTCAAGCAAGGGAACCTTTACCTTTACCTTTATACTATGAGAAATAATAGTTACTCCATAACTTTCCTCCACAGCTTTTTCTCCACTTAATACTTCTACTATTAAGAAAGCCTACATGAATTTTAACTTAAATCATCATCTAGTCTTCAGTTAATAATGTAAATAACTGTTGTATTTTAAATCTGTAAGTATATTCCCCTCTTGCTCATCTTCTTACCTCTCCTTAGCCTCAAATGATCTTACTAAACTTTTGGTTTTTCTTATTTTTGTAGTATAGCTACAGAAGTGAAACTAATAGAACTGTAATTTTCCAAGTTCATATTTCTAGTACCTTCTTCCTGCTCACCTTCAATATCTCACAACTCAAGTTTTTAATATCTATGATGTCATATATTCCATGACAATTTACTATTTATCTTTTAAAAACCCACAAAAAAGAAAGAAAGATCAAGCTAATAACTTCAAACATTTCCATTTGGATAATTCAGGTAAATACCCTGTCACTTAACTTTTATACTATATACCCAAACCTACTTACCTACTTTAAATAAGAATATGAAAATGTGCATAATTGCTCAGAAGTGTAAATATAATCTTTTTACTTGTAAAGCTTCTAATTTAAAAGGTTATATTAACAATAAGAATGTAAGCTTTGTTAATAACAACTGAACTGATTAACATTTATTAAAATATTTTTGATTGCCAAGTGAAGATTTATTACTTTGCATCAATCCATCATTAATCCAGTCATGTGGTTTATGGGGGCTTTTTTGAGAAAAAAATATGAAGCCTTGTTTCAGAAGACTGGGATTCACAAATATACTGTAAAAATATTCATCCATATTTGTGACAAAAAATTATTCCATTAGCATAGATAGTTGAAAGCAAATCTCTAATTTCTTTAGCTTGCTTCCATATGGGGGGGGCACCCAGGAGCAGAGCTTAAGATCTATGTAACAGCAATGGTCTTGTGTCTTGGGTACTATCTGGATCTGGCCACTCTTTTTCTCAAAGCATACTGGATGAGACAACATTAGACTAATCTGCTATGAACACACTTATTTTCTTGAGAAGCCAAGGCAACAATGATAGTTAGTTAGGACTGACCAAAGAGCCAGTTCAGTGTAGTAGTTAGTTTTGGACTATGATCTGGGAGACCTGGGTTTGAATGCCCACTCTTCCATGAAAGCTTGCTTGGTGATCTTACCACAATTGTTGTGAGGGCAAGAGAATGAATGTAAGCGGCTTTGGGTCCACGGAGAACAGTGGGGTACAAATGAAATAAACATATTTAAACACAATAAAGTGGCACTTCTTCATGTCATTTGGCTTTGAAGAACCTATAACATGTTGGCTGAGCAATCTACACCATGGATGATCTGATGATAAGATTCTTTAATCATCAATACATCAAAAAGGAGCTGCAGAGAGGAAGTCTGGTAGAAGAAGAATCTGAACAATCCTGGGCAACTCCCAATGCAAGATCAGCTGAAGAGCTGCCTTACAAGGAATTTATACAATTTAGTCCATAGCTAGCTGTCAAATGTTTTGACAGTTCATCAGACCACACCAGTAGGCATTCATATTGTGAGAACAGCTGCTCTAACCGTCATTGTTTTCATAACAGGCTAATCTTTATATGGTTTTAAGGTCCATCTTACCAGGATTGGAAGCATGGAGCAGCTAGATGCCTGGAGTGAAACCTCCGTCAGCAAATACACAAATTGATCACAGGAGGTTTGATTTCCTGTACTGTGAACGCCAGCCCAGGAAATCTTGTTACAAGAAGTCTGCTAGTCCTTAAAATACCATAAGGCTCTTTTTAAAAACTTTTGTTATAACAAGTTAACACAGTTACTTCCTCTGGAATTTAAAATGAACAGGTGCCCTCTTTAATTAAACAAACTACTCTTAAACGTCGTTATCTCGATAAAAACAACTTGGACTTCCCCTTAAAGGCCTCAAGCGAGCAATCTCCACAATTCCGCAAAGGTCCCTTATGTTACCTAGTGATGTCGTCCAAAGTGGGATCACCAACACATTTGATTATCTAGCGAACTGCAGGAATCACTTGTGGAAAATGCAGGGGCTTTACCACGCTGGGCCGGAATGAAGGGGCTAGCGACTGGGAACCGCAGTAATGCCTGTGCTTGACCAGGCAAAGGTGAGACATCACAGCGCAATCGCTGCGCTAACCCCTCCACCCCGAAGGCCCACTGGCCAATGCCGCCCCAAGAGTCACTGACCTTTCCGCGGGGCGGCGGTCTCAGACCACCCGAAGACAACGTGTCGAGCTGCTGCCCGCAGAAAGCAGCGCCCAGTAACCAAGGGCGACAGGGGCGGCGCCATCTTGCCAAAGCTGCTTCCCCGCCCCGAACTGTGCTGAAAAGAAACAGTCACCGCAAGGATGGCCACCACTTTGACCACGCTGAGTCCTGTCACCTTCGCACCGAACCCCTTATTCCTCTCAGAAAGACTACGAGATCCAGAATGCAACGCGCTGAACCAGACTGCTGATAGAAGGGTACCGGATACAACTGCATGCTGGGAAGTGGGGTTTTCGTACCATAGCGAGCCGAACCAGAGGAGGGAGGGCTCAAGTGTGGCAAATGTGCATCTCATGTGGACACATTATACAAGGCGTACAGGTTGCTTGATAGCACTTTTAAAAAATATATCATCAGTATCGTCAATACATTCACTTATTTCACGTCAAAGAACTGCATCCTCTTCTGTACCTCACTACGTTCCAAACCGACATCACAGACTTTCAAGTACTCACCTGGTATCTCCATTTAAAAGGATCAGGTAGTACATGGTGTGAAAGCCTACCTGACTCCTGAGAGCCAGCACCAGTCAGAGAAGAAAATATTAGCCATGATAGACAAAAGGTCTGACTCAGAATTCCTATGTTCAGCAAATCGGCTTTAGGGCTGCAATCTCACACATGCTTATTTGGGACCAGGAGAGGAATGGGGCCACCAGCAGTGATCCCTCTAAGCTGAATTAGTGTGAGCTAGCTCACAGTTTTTTAGCCTCTGGCTCACAAGTTTTCGTCTTAGCTCAGGAAGGAGGGCTGCAGAGCAAACTAATTTATGCAGCAGCCAAATTGCTCACTCACAACTTTAATGCCAGTAGCTCACAAAGTAGGATTTTTGCTCACAAGACTCCACAGCTTAGAGGGAGCATTGGCCACCAGTGATCTTGAATAAGTTTTTCAACCTTACTGATACGTGCCAGAGTACTAGGGTTGTCAACCTGCAGGTGGGGACTGGAGTTCTCCCAGAATCGATCCCCAGAGTGCACCAATCAGTTCCTTTGAAGAAAAAATGGCTGCATTGAAGGGAGGCATTATACCCCACTGAGGCCCTCCCTGCCCCAAAGTCCACCCTCTCCAGGAATTTCCCAAGCCAGAACTGGCAACCCTAGTGACACGGCATGGAGTTTTAAGGAGAAAGTCAGGTTCAGTTCCTAGGGTTACCAATTGTGGGTTGGGAAATTCCTGGAGATTTGGGGGTGGACCCTGGGGAAGGCAGGGTTTGGGCAAGGGAGGTGAAAAGTACTGGGTTCGCTGCATGGAGAACTCGGACGATGACATGCGGTTGCACACGTTTATTGTACTTAACACAAGACTAACTAAAACGGCCCTGCGAGGTCAACTATATACACACCCACCCAGCACAGCCTTAGTCCATTGGAGGGTTTGAATTTCCCGCCAGAGTGGCTATTGGTTGCGGCTGGGGGGAACTAGGATCCTACGTTCCTATTGTCCAAGGGAGCAAAGCTCCAGTCTTTGCCACAGACCCCTAGTGGAGGTCCGCGTACATAACAGGAGGGACCCTAATGAAATATAAAGCCATAGAGTTCACACTGCAAAGCAGCCAAGGGCATATGGAGAGAAGTTGTTATTCCAGGAGATCCCCAGGCCTCACCTGGAGGTTTGCAACCTTATGTTCCACTGAGCCACAGCCCATACACTATTTTTGTTGTTTAGTCGCACAGTCGAGTCTGACTCTTTGCGACCCCATGGACCAGATCACGCCAGGCCCTCCTGTCTTCCGCCGTCCCCTGAAGTTTGCTCAATTTCATGTTCGTTGCATCTGTGACTGTCTAACCATCTCATCCTTTGCTGTCCCCTTCTTCTTTTACCTTCAATCTTTCCCAGGATCAGGGTCTTCTCCAGTGAGTGCTCCCTTCTCATTTGGTGGCCAAAGTATTTGAGCTTCAGTTTCATTATCTGGCCTTCCAGGGAACAGTCAGGGTTAATTTCTTTTAGGATTGACTGATTTGATCTCCTTGCAGTCCAAGGGACTTTCAAGAGTCTTCTCCAGCACTATAGTTCAAAAGAATCTATTCTTCGGCGCTTGGCCTTCCTTATAGTCCAACTCTCGCAGCCATACATGACTACTGGGAATACCATTGCTTTGACCATGCGGACTTTTGTTGGCAGGGTGATGTCTCTACTTTTTATCATGCCGTTTAGGTTCGCCATCGCTTTCCTCCCAAGGAGCAGGCGTCTTTTAATTTCATGGCTGCTGTCACAGTCTGCGGTAATCTGGGCTCCCAGGAACGTGAACTCTGTCACTACTTCCATGACTTCCATGTCACTGCATCACACTGGCTGCTCATATTTACCTTTCGGTCCATCCTCACCCCAAGATCTTGTTCACAAACACTGCTACTCAGAAGTGTACCCCCCATCCAGTATGCGTGTTCCTCATTTTTGTTACCCAGATGTAGAACTCCCCAACAGGAGTTGCAGCTATAGTTTTTCTGTCTCACACACTTTTACATGGTGTGCATTTCTTATGTCTCATGCTCAGCCTGAATAGGGTGGTGACAATCCCACTGGAAATGTGCTGGCTGAGATGCCATTTGGGACAAGATGGTAAGGTCATATATGTCTGTGAATGTCACTGAGCATACCTTACAAAATAGTAGAGTTTGACCTGTTTGCCCTATTGTTAGATATGAGACTCAGGTAGCAGGTGAACAGTGATAACAGCTTTATTCAACTAAGTCAGAAGAAATCAAGAACAAGACAAAAACATAGAGCATTCCGGGCTTGGGAGGCCACGCCCACATGTCAGCTAACAACCAATAACTATTTACAGATAAAGTCCAATCAGAGTGCTTCCCTCCAGAATACTACGCAGCTCTGATTGGTCTATTTACAATCCTGTTTGAGTCCAAAGATTAACATGGTTTTCAATACATAACACCTATGTAGAGAACCAAAGGGAATTGTTGGCATTAATGGGACATACAGTGTTAGAAGATGAGCATGTGAATAAGCCTGAGATGATGTAGTTGATGTTGTTAGGTCCAGTGATTGTGTTGTCTGGGTGTATGTAGCAGCAAAGTTGGCATCTGGGTTTATTGCAAGCTCTGGTCCCAGTGTCCATGTTCAAATTAGATGTTGCATTATTGCGGGTGAGGAGTTGTTTGAGATTGGGGGGCTGTCTGTGCACAAGAAAAGGTTTGCCTCCCAGTACTTGTGAAAGAGAACTATCATAATCCAGTAAAGGTTGTCAGTTGCTGATAATGCGTTGAACTGTTTTGAGTTGAGAGCTGTATGTGACCACTGTATGTATTCTGTTATTGTCTCTTTGGGGCCTGTCTTGCAACAGATTTTCTCTGAGTATCATTCTGGCTTTGTTAATCTGTTTCTTGACTTCATCAAGTAGATACTTTAGTTCTAACAAAATTTGTTGTAGATCCCTCAGATTAGAATCTCTGTCTGTAGGATTGGAGCAGATGCAGCTGTTGCGTATAGGCTGGCTGTGTACAATGGATTGTTTGTTTAGGATGGTGTCAGCAAGCTGCCAATATGTCTTTTCCATGCATATGAGATGTGTCCATTCCCCCCCCTCCTTCCCTGGACTGGCTTAGACTCTTGTGCACATGTTCCCCCTCACCCTCATGCGTTCATCTTCAACTGCATTCCTTTCCATGTACGCTAGCAGTGCTTTGAAGGAACCTTATCTGCCAAGGCTACAGGTGGTTCGCATTCGGAGGCTTTTTGCTTAGTCTATAATGAACAGTAGTGTGAGAATAGAATAATTGTTTAATCAGCTACAACCGTTGCTTTCTCAGGGTTTGGGCGTGCGATGAGTCCTCAGGGCGGGCGCGGGAACCATATCTATTGGTCCATGTTATTTTAAACTCGCTTTATTATACCTGTCTCAAGCACCTTGTGTTATTCTAAAAAGAGAATCTGTTCTAAGTACTTCATGGCTTCAATAAAATAAAACCTTCTTGCAAGAGTGTATTTCATTGCTTGCTGTGAGTCTGACATACTGTTCAGAATCACTCTTTCTCCATCCTGAAGCCTCTATCAACCCCGATATGAGTGGAGGTGAGGGTAAACCTGACCTGGAGAAATCTCCACATGGATCCGAGCCTGGGGACTCAGATCACGGGGAAGAAACCCCGGAGACCTCGGCGTCGGTGCCGGTGACAGCCGCCTTTCCGCTGTACACCCCAAGCAGAGGGGCCATCCCGAAATGTGGTCGAGCGTTCTTAACACCGCGTGGAGCCCCCTATCGCCCCGGACCCCGGGGACCCAACCGCCAGAGCTGGAGCCAATTTGATGCGGCTACTACCAGAGAAACCTACTCCCATCTGGGAGCTGGCTTGCGGGAGTGCCTGTATGAGCCAGGGTGGGGAGACTCGGGCTTGGCGGCCCTGGGAGTTGGCTTCGATGAGCCAGCCGCCCCATCCTGGTTAAGGACAGGAAAAGGAGCAAAGAGAGCCGAAACCCCATGGAGGAGAGGGTAATGAGCAGAATCGAGACAACTGACCGCAACGTCTGACAACTCCAACAGACGGTGGAAGAGATAATGACCACTTTACCCGACATGGTCATGCGAACCTTCGAGGAGATGTAGGAGCGTTTGCAACCACTGGATGAAGCCGGGGCCGCCGGGCAGCGGGACCAAGTTCGGCAACCACCAGATCGGGGCGAGCCAGCTCACCCCGGGGTACCGGATGGTCAACCGCCACGACCTGCATCCCGACCAAGAGATGTACCCGCCCCTGAGCCGAGACCCCTGGTGAACCCTCGCCCCAAAGATCTCATCGAGGCTACGTTCGATGGAAACCCCGAGGAGCTGGCATACTTCGTGGTGAGAGTCTGAAAGTTCCTCGACCGCTCGGGGTACCTGTTCCTGGATGACAGCAGCCAGATCGATGTAGTCGCGGCAAGACTACGAGGAGCAGCGGCCACTTGGTATGTGAGTCTGCATAATCTGGGGGGCCCTGAACTCCGGGACATGCATGCGTTCATGTGGGCCCTCCGAACCCAGTTCAAAGATGTGAACGCGGGCCCGTGGGCGCACGTGTACTTGTGCACCTTAAAGCAAGGAAGGAAGACGGTTAGAGAATATGCGGCCGAGTTCAAACTCCATGCAGCTAAACTTCAAGACTGGCCGGAGCACATTCTGGCCGAG